TCGTATTATTTTATCGTGATCTTTATAATTTCAAAAAATAAAACGCTACTGCAGGTAATCTTTAAAGAACTTCGGTTATTCATAACCTCAAAAACACACTATTACGACGTCTATCTACCCATCATTTGAAAAATCGTTTGAAAAATCAGTTATTTAAAAATGTAATTAGACTTTTTAACCTGAGATTTCCTAAATTTGTTAATTTTATATAAATTATGTAAATAGTTGCTTTAAAAGAGTAAATGGGCTTTATTTTACTATGTTGCGCGAAGTATTGCGCAATGAAAACCCCAGTCGGCCCCCTTAAATCCCTTTTAAAATTTAGGTATTACCAACAATAACCAAAAAAGTATTTTTGATCATGATCAGTTGATAAAGTTTTATTTATTTAGAGCCAGCTCAATTCCTGATATGTAAAGTATAAAATCAAGTATTATCGTAACAAGCTAATTCAGAGCATTTTTGTCCCCCGCTTAGGGAAAAAAAGAAAAGCATGCGCAGTTCGAAGGGGGGGGGTGAACCTGCCCCCTGCATTTGTAGAATTATTAAATGTATACATGTACATGCATATTGAAGCAAATTAAAAAAAAAAATCCAATATGGATATAAATATTAGATTGCTTATTCTTTAATATGTGTATAGAAGATCATTTTTAATATACAGAATAGTTATCAAACTGTAATAATGATTTTATGAGTTTGTACACGCCAGACATCATAACATTTTCATTTCACATGTTGAATAGTATCATTTAGTAAATAGAAATAAATAAATAAATAAAAAAATAAATTAAAAAAAAAGAGAATCGTACGCGGATTGAACCCGGGGCTCTCGCTTGCTAAGCGAGCAACATACCACTAGACCACGGAGGCACTTGATTATAGAGCAAATTAAATGCAAACATTAAGTCACATATAATGTTTATATTAACGTTTGATATTGTCAAAATTTTACACAATAAATGTTGTCTAATTTAGCCTTCACTAAACAGTTGTAATACATGTAATAAGAATTAAAAGTCCGCCGACAACCTGTATCATACTTAAAAACTCTCCACATGTTCTTGTGCTAAAAGCAACTTTTAATACAATAAAGAAAAAAAACGGGGCAGGACACTTTGAGAGCGGCAAAAGAGGCCATAGGGAGTTATGGTATAAAATTTCATTGCAAAAGTTCAAAAGCTTCTTGAGATATCGCCCTGAAACGAAAGTGCTACACACAGAAAGAATTTATCAGTTTACGACCTTGACCTTGACGTTTCTCCTCAAAATCAATAGGGGTCTTCCATAGGCCACAGGGAGTTGTCATGTAAAATTTCATTGCAAAAGCTCAAAGAATTTGCGAGATATCGTGCGGAAACTAAAGTGTTAAAAACAGACGGAATTTCTGAAATTATGAACTTGACCTTTGACCTTTTGACCTCAGAATAAATAGGATTCTTCTTTTGGCCATAGGGAGTTGCTATGCAAAATTTCATTGCAAAAGCTCAAAGGGTTCTCGAGATATTGCACGGAAACGAAAGTGTTACAGACAGAGAGAAATACAGACGGACGGACGGACAGACAGACAGACCCATATTAGTATCCCCTACTATCAGTGAAAGCGGGGGACAAAAAATATGCACAAATATCTTTCTCATTTATGGCCAAGGCAGTCACTTTTAACAACATGGTATTATATATGTGCAATTTATCTCGAAATAAAAATCCTTTTACCAATGGATTGGTACTGCTAATCTGTCGTAGAGTGAAATGGATACATGTTTAATTCAAGCAGACATATTTTTTTTTAACTATATCCTTAATTTTTGTACAGATCTTATAATTGAAAACAACATTTTTATTTAAAAAAAATTTAAACAAATATGGTAGTATTGGTAAAAATGCCATATTTAACTAAACAAAAACTCCTTGCACCACGGGTTGAGAAAAATATGAATGTTTATCAAATAAAACCAAAGTCATGTAGGGTGAGCTTGTTAAAAAGATATAGATAGAAAAAAATTCTTAAGATAGGTAAGTGTTGGATTTATGGTTAGGGTTAAGACTAAGGATAAGAAAAAAAGCTTCAAAAATATAGTAAGGTTTAGTTGTATCAATTTTAGTTTGAGGAAGTTGTATTGCATTCCTAGAGCATACAGATAAAGATAAAATTAGTTCAGTATGACAATGAAACAATGGTACAGTGAACATATTAAGTAATCCATACATGTATTAATTTTTTTTTCATTTATATAACAAGCCACTAAGGGTTTCGAAATGCGTGGAACAACTTATATGCGATCAACACCATCGTATATGTAAAACATACAAAATGATCATACAGTAACTTTTTTAGGTAACCTAGGTATACGAAGAATATTGCCCAATAAAATAATTATAGAAAGAATCATAACGTGATATATACCTTGAAAACTGACGTTGAAGGAATTTTCGATTTTTATACATGTTTATTCTTTGAAAATTTATAATTTTATATCCTTGCAAGGGCTCAGCGTATTGGCTAACAAAGGGATTTCGGTTCACTTTGTTCCAATACGTTTTAAAACAGGCCACAACCCATATATTACTTTAGATAATTTATGTTGCAGAGGCAAATCGATTAAGATTTCTGGAAAGATCTTGGTCTTGGGTGACCCTTCATATCCATTCACTTCTTTTTCTTCAATTTATTTCATTTTTTGTGAGCATCGAATAGGTTTGCTGAAACAATCTAAAAATGATCAAATGCAAGATATAATAATTATGAAATTCAAAGGAACTTTTGGAACATTTAAAATCACAAAATTTTACCAAAATTAACAACATAAAAACTTATACAACTATTCCCCACGATAAATTAAAGTCCAGACTTGTTGACATCGTTGACAGCTCTCTTTTTTTTGGATAAAAATGGAACTTGTAAATTTACTTACCTTGTCATTGGTCATTTGCAAAATTACTTTGTCAAATATACAATCTGATTGTACAAACAAGCACTCTGAAGTTGACATTAAAATATGCTTGAGTTTCTGACTGACAATATCTATCTGGAAGACCAGGTCTTAATAAATCTATTGGAATTCCATGGGTACCAATTGCTCCCCGTTATTAGCAGAGCTATTTCGTATTCATATGAAGCAGAATTTGTTCAAAATCTTTTACGACAAAAGAAGGAAACACTTGCTGTGGCCTTCAACTCGAAATTCAGATATATCGACTACTCGATATATTCCGCTGAGCTTGAGATAGAAGATAACACGGAGTCTGACACATCTGTTTCATATTTGGATATTTTATTAGAAAAAGACATTAATGGTAATCTAACAACAAGGCTTTATGATAAACGTGATGACTTTAACTTTTCAATCGTCAACTTCCCTTACCTATGCAGCAATATACCTTTATCGCCTGTATAAGTAGTTCATATCTCTCAGTAAATTCGATACGCAAGAGCATGCTCTACGAATGAACATTTTTTTTAAAACGAGGTGCATGTATGTTATTGACAAACAAGTTGATGAAACAAGAATATAAGCAGTCTCGTTTAAAGTCATCATTTCGTAAGTTCTATGGTCGATACAAGGACGTAGTAAGCAAATACAATCTATCATAAAGTCAAATGCTGACTGACTTTTTTAATAAAAGTTGTTTGAAGTTGTTAGGCCTTTATTTACACACTGAATTGTCGACGGATATTTCCGTTATTCCCGATCATGACAAGGAGCACACGGCGGGTGTGACAGGTCTGCAGGGGATGCTCAATCTTCCATGGCACCTGATCCAACTTCTGATGTCTTAGAGGACCCTGTTAGCTCTGCTCTTATTTTGTAATGTTTAATGGACTTTTGAGCTCGAATATTGTTCGCTATCTCCACATATTTCATGAAAAAAAAAATAATTCGAAATTTAGTTGAAATGATAAGGAATACTTAATAGAAAATAAAACTTTTATTTCCCTGTTTATAGGTATCAAAGAACAGAAAAAAAAGGAATTCATTATTTCTAAATAGTAATATAAATAAAGACTTACTACTAATCTCTTAAGATTAACATATTATCCAAACTTATAACGTAGCGCTCACCATCTCTTTTATTTAATGTCTTTCTTGTCTTTTACAGATTTTAGTCCGCCTGTTCTTTTTTTTCTTTTTTTTTTTTTTTAATTCAAAACACCTTTATGGGTATATTTTTTCATATTATACTGTGGAATTATTTTCTTATTTTGTTAATGCTCAATATTAGTGGAGTTCATCGGTAGCCATCAGCAACTAGTTTACATCCTCCACGAATTAATGCACTACGGGTTATTTCCTTTTGTAGATATGAGTGAATACACGAAATTACGTTCCCGCGAATCTGTACAATATAAGCTATATATGTAATCCATGGAACCGGGCCACGGCCCGCCGCGAATTTTGATGATTCCACAGTTGGTAAAATAATGAACTAGGCTTAAACATTTATATTTGAATAAGATGTAGTGTTTGTAAAGTTATTTCTTACTAAACAAGAAACTTAACTATGATATGCAATAATTATTGCTAATTTCATTGTGTACATGTAGCTTACGTGCAGTATATGTAGTACACCATATAAGTAAAAAATTGACTTTTAGTTAGATTTTAATCTATAAATAACACGTTAGATTTTTTTTGGTACATTTAGTGAGGCTGATGAGATCGCAAAAAATAAAATAAATAAATAAAAATAAATAAAAATCACTAACATTTTCCTCCACATTATAGGTCATAGTTATGTTTTTAGGGATCAAAAATCGCTGAAATTATTTCTTGCAAAAATGATTTACAGTATTTCTATGATTAATCGCTAAATTTACCTCTCGCTAAAAATTCCATTTGCATGGGTAGTTTTGTTACTGATCTTAATAAACTTTATTACTTTCATAACTTTCAACTGTTAGAATTTCAATTAGTTCAACTACTTTCATTCCTTGACATAAAAAGAAATGCGTATTCCGTTCTCGCGTGTAAAAACATCTGCCTTATGTGATTTCAATAATGACTCCTCTATCAAGTACTCTTCCTCCACCAATTGGTGCCGTTTACTTTTTCACTGGTAAGTCCAAAGAGTATGACTTACAAATTAAAGTCATTAAAAAAAACAATCATAATCACCCTTTATGACATTTATTTTTCATCCATTAACCCTGCATATGGTTTTTTTTTTTTTTTTTTTTTTTTTTTTTTTTTTTTTTTTTTTTTTTTTAAATAGCTTTTACCGTTTCGTTATTTAAAGAATTATAGATTGGATATTTAACCTTATGTAATTGGAGGTGTTTGCATAAAAATCTCTTATATTAAGCTATACGTTTCATAGTTTTAGCTTTGCAATACATTTTAGTATATTGTTTTTGACCAGAAACTATGATCATTCAAAACCCATGGTGACAATAAAGAAATGCTAAGAAATCTGCATTTCACTAAAGTACACCGAAATATTAACTTTTGCATTGCAGAATTTTTTTAAGATGTGAATTGTGATAAAAATGTGGAAAATTTTCCGTTATGTTTATAGTTTCTTGTTCAAAACTTTGTTTGAGAATTTTGTATTTTAGTGTTCCATGAACATAATTTTACAGGCCTGCACGTCCTTTTCTGTGTACTAATGTTAATCATTGAACAAATGCCGGGATCACTCAATTTAAAGTGATTTGGACATTTCATTGATGGTTTCACTACTACAAATAAAGTATGTTTTCCCTGTTCTTTAATTGATTGAAAAAATGCTAGAAATTAGAGAATTGCTAAAAAACAAAAACAAATGTAAACACATAAATATTTGAATCGTGGGATATTTTTTGGAATCATTTGATTAATATGTGCCATATTGACAAATGAGCAGCTGGTTTAATTTGTTTCCCCAATTCAAGAGTCACATTTTAGTTGTGATTGCACTGCTTTGTACTTTACGTTCTTTGTAATACAAGTTACACAGAATTCAGATTTTTTTTCCCTTCTTGTGTTTAGTTTTGATAAGCAAAACAATTTCTCTTGTCAATGAAATGTGAAGATTACAAACAGAAATTATTCGCAGATGTCCATTCAAACAATGTATATTTTTGCTGAGCAAACCAGATCTCTAAAACAAAACTTTTATATACTATATACTTACTATATATACATAATAACCGACTGGGCTAAACAAACGCGGTATGCTGTGAAGCGTCCCAGCTAGCACAAAAACATTTTCAAAATGTTACAAAAAATTTTCAAAAATGTTTTAATCACGTGATTTTGTATGTTTTTTTAAACGTTTTTAAAACATTTTATCAAATGTTTCAGCAAATGTTATCAGAACATATTATCAAAATGTTACGGAAACATTTTTTAAAAATGATTTAATCACGTGATTTTGTATGGGTTTTAAACGTTTTTAAAACATTTTATCAAATGTTTCAGCAAATGTTATCAGAAAATTTTCCTTAAATGTTACTAAAACATTGTTGAAAATGTTTTATTCACTTGATTTTGTATGGTTTTTAAAACATTTTTAAAACATTTTACCCGAATGTCGCAATGACATCTCTTTCCTGAAATGTCACTTAACGTTTTCATTAAATGATATCAACATCATTTTGTATGATTTTAAAAGCGCTTTTTCATACATTCCATCTTAATTATAACTCTCAAAGAACTAATTCACAACCGAATGAATTCACTTTTTACAAATTTTAATACAAATCCTTATTTAATATGAAAAACATATTTAGTTCCATTTCAGGTTCAAGTTCTGAGTTATTCCGTTTTAACCCAACAGGAATTTTTAAAGGAAAAAATCCATTCACTGAATTTAAAAACAGCAGAATCACATAAATCCTAAAAAGAATAAACAGGCCTAGATCACTGTTATCATTTACGATCCCGCAAAAAGCATGTATCAACATGTACATCTGTACGTTCCACAGAGCGGCGGACCTATTATATAAATGGAATCACACAAATTGATAAGGTCCACAAGAAGTCTGTCCTCGGAAAGAATCAAACTAAAAGCTCTTTTCTGTAAAGCAGAACCTGTAAACATAAAGACAATAGTGCTTTTATGTCGTCCGTCTACATCAGAACTTTAAATAATGAAAATATACAAGAACATTTTTTTAATCATAAAATCACATGAATTTTTCCATTTGCATTAACACGCATTTTCTGTAAGCACCAAAAAATCTTGGAAACGACATGTTTCGGATTTTGATGAAATTTGCACCACAGATGTGTCTTGGTACAAAACTAGCAAATATGGTGTCGGAAGTTGTCAGTGGAAAATTTCCAAATCTTATGTGTGTTTTTATACTTGAGAATTAGTAGTGTCATCTCATGAAAAAATATCGGTGGGCATTTACTCCTATTTTTAGTAACATGTATCTATAAATAGATTTATTTTAGAAAAATGTAAAAAATCAAATTTTGGCAAAGTTTTAGATCCCAATGCTGGATAATTAGGAAGTATATTGTAAATATTAAGATATTAATGACAGTAGCTAGACACCACTAGCTGGAGTGGACAATGGTTAAGGGGGATTCCCATTTCTATTTATAGTATCAAGCACCTAAATATAGATATATCTCTGAATATTAAGAAAAATGACAGTTTTATGCTAATTGGAAGCTTCATAGAAAAAGTCTTAACACATATTAAGCTTTTTCCAATATGCCTTCAAAAAGAACATGTGTTTTTACAATAATTGATACAATATTGAGCATCAACTCTTGTTTCTTTTTATAACAACAATGGTCTAAAAAAAGATTCCTCGAATTATCGAGAAACTGTAGATTCTTGCACTTTTTCAGGCAATGATGGATGGAAAGGATGCAGACTAACTGTTATAAACCTAGTGTGATTGACAAGTACTAGAAACCACTTACAGAAATATACACTCTCTGAAGGGGGTTCCCTTTTTTATTTATAGCACAAACACCCATAAATAGAAACATCTCAGCATATGAGGAAAAATGACAATTTTCCACCAGTTGTAAGTTTCATTGAAAAAAATATTTACAAAATATACTGCTGTCTACAATATGTCATGAACAAAAACATTTGGGCAATTAATAATTGACACAGTATTGAAGATGGACTCTCTTTTCTTTCTATAGCAACCGTTGTCTAAAAATAGATGCAGTGAGTTATTTAGAAAATAGAGATTCTTGCACTATTTTAGACATTATTGATTGAATACTCTCTATTATAATATTATGTGACTGACAAGCACTAAAAACCAATGACTGAAATGCAAAATGTTTCAAGGGGATGCACATTTCTATTTTTAGCACAAAAAATTTAACGTCTTAGTATGTAAAATGAGGTTAAATAAAAATTTTCCACATACTGAAAGCTTCGTAAAAATATTCACAAATAATTTGCTTTCTACAATATTTTAACAACAGGAACTGACAAGTTCTAGTAACCTTTACTGTAAGGCCCTGTACTTGAAGGGGGTTCACATTTCTATTTATAGAATCAAACACCTTAAAATTTACATGTCTCAATATATGAAAATAAATAACAATTCTTTAGTAAATAAGCTTCACAGAATAAAAAAAATTACAAAATAAACTGCTCTCTACAATATGTCATTAACAAGAACAGTTAGTCAATTAATATTTGAACACTATTTAAGGGGTGAACTCATTTTTTATAATAGCAAAATTGTCAAAAAAATATCAAAATGCTTAGAGTTATCCAGAATATGTAAATTCTTGCATTATCTTACACATAAAGGATGAGAACTTTACAACCTAACAGTTACTGTTATAACCATTATGTGAATGACAAGCAATAGTGACCATTTACTGAAATGTACACTATTTGAATGAGGTTTCTTTTTCTATCTATAGCAACAAACACGTAAAAAGTTTCTGTCTTAACATATGAGAAAAATAACAAAGTTTCCCCAATAATTACCTTCTTCTAAAAAGATATATACAAAATAATACAATTGTCTACAATATGTCATGAAGAGGACCTTTACTTTCATTTGTTTTTATGGCAACAATTTTATAAAAATAGAAACCCTGAATTATCACAAGGATGTAGATTCTTGCACTATTTCAGACAGTAAAGATAATTTTCCACCAATCAGAAACTCATAGAAAACGTATTTTCAAATAAACTGCCCTCTACAATCTGTTAACATCAAGAACATGTGGTTAGACAACACGTTGTATATTATTGAAGGTAGATACTCAATTCTTTTTATATATATAATTGTCTGAAAAGAGATACTGTGAATTATAGAGAAATTGCAGATATTGTAAAGAGCGAAGAAGAAGGTAATCAGCTTAAATACAACTATTTTTATTTATTTATTTTTTTTTTCAAATATGAAATTGTGATCAGAAACTAAATAGATGCTTTCTCAACTGTTTATATTCACATGCAGAAAGATCATACAGTTTTTAGCTCAACTGGTCAGAGACCAGAAAACCTTATACGATAGTAAGGTGTCCGTCGTCTGTCCATCTCTCTGTCCGTCTATCTGTGAACAATGTTTCTAAATGCTACTACACTTACAGTTTTGGGCTGATTTCAATATAACTTAGCAAACAGGTAGACTACTTTAAGATGCCTAATTTTATTTATCAGTTTTTGATTTCAATGAACGGTAATGCCATAGTTACTAGAAATAAAAATTTCTTGAAAACACTTTCAAAACGCTATTTCTCCTTCTGTTTAGTTTGATTTCAATATAACCTGGCATACAAAAAATACACTAAGATATATAATTCTATAAATTGGTTTTTTGATTTTGATGAACAGTGCTGCCATATTTACTAAAAATTAAAATGTCTGTGAAATACTTTCAAAATGCTTCAGTTTTGGTCTGATTTTCATATAACATGCAAGTAGACTACTCATAAATACAATTTGTCTATCCTTTTTTGATTTTGATGAATGATGTTGATATGCTTACTAAAAATAAAAATTTCTGTAATTTTCTTTAAAGGCTACTCCTCCTGCAGATTTGGTCTGATTGCAATAAATCTTGCCACAAAAAGAGACTAAACCAAGGATCATTATTCTACCTAATGCTGTTCCAATGTTTCAAGTCAAGATGCTTC